TTTACCTTTCCCAAACTAGCGTGGAATTACACAAGCTATTCTCCTGTTGAGGGGGGCTATTGGGGAATCCATGTATCCCCTTAATGACCTGGCTAATAATCCCCTCGATAACCCCTCTCAAGGAGTTTACACTATGGCTCATTTTGGGGGGTGATAATTTTTCCAAGCTATGCGCCTCCGGAGAGGAAGCAAGACTGGAAGCCAGTGCCCAGTAAGCCAAGTAAGGCCTTCGGTGTGGTTGTTTAGGTTCTAGGGTGTAGGGTTCGGGGTCTAGGGTTTCAGGCTTCTTCCCTTTTCATTTCATAAAATAAGACCTTATTGGCGTACACCCCTCGGATTTCATATTAGATGGTTTCTCAAAAATGGGGGGGGAGGGTGTATTCCCAAATGCTAACCCTAAACCCTAAGGGTGACTCTGAGGGACGCCAAGCACATCCTTGGAATCACAAGCACCTATTTAGGAATATGTAGGGAACATCTTGAGATATGCTCGTAGAAGCTCAGACCTTTGGGGTATGGGGGGTTTGGGGGTTTGGGGCTTTGGGATTTTGGGTTTAGGGTTTAGGGTTAGGGGGTGGGGTTTTAGGGCCGGGGGAGAGGAGGCACATGGGCTGTCGAAATTGCAGCGCCTGGGAAAGAGGAACCCCATCCGCCATGCCTTGACGCTCAGTAATCTTCAAATTTCAGCGTCCCAAAAGGAAAAACCAAGGCACGACCAACAAACAACATCAGAGTAACGTTTTTTTTTGGGTGGTTGAACCCAGTAAGATTATATTCCTCATATAAAATATTATACCCCAAAAGGAGGATATAATCTTTCTCTATGATGGGTACCATAATATCCCCAAATTAAATGCTACTCATCAGGGCTGTAGTTGACGGGACGCCCAAAAGAGAGTGCTCTGACCCGGCATATTCCCTCAACCCCCACCTCCCACTTGGAACCACCCCAAAGACATTGGACTACCTCCCAGCCATAGCCGGGAAAATACCTGCACATGGGCCATACTCTTTCCTTATTGGATCCACTTGAATACAGATTCCTGCCCCAAAATGTGAGAATCATTTCAGTTAACATGCACTTTGAAAAGCTTTAGAAGCCCCATCTCGTTCGCAACAGGGCTTGCTGCCATCCGGCATAAGCCCTACGTCGCTCCTTTCTGACGCCTATACCTTCCCAGGCCCAAAACCCTACGCGTAACTGGTAACCCCACGCCCCATCCCAAGCCCCGAATTCCAAAACCCCATCCTAAACTGTCAGCCCCAAACCCAAACCCTTCAGTCATCAATCCTGAACCCTAAGCCAGAAACACTGAACTGCTAAACGCTATATCTTAGGTGGACCCCCCCCCACCCCGTAATAGTGACTATCAGGGACAATAAGGATTATATTGGCGTTTAGGCTTAGGGATTAGGGATAATAGTGATCGTATCAGAGTCCTCTTATATTCCTACTATACCACTATTACAGGGTGGGGGCGGGGGTTCCTCCGAAGTTATATCCCCAACCCATGAACCCGGCATCCCACATCCACCTTTCCAAGAACAAATGGGTCCGACAGGTCTGCTCAATCCTCTGCCTGGCATTCACTGCGATATAGTAGTAATGAGAGTAGCAAAAAACAGTAACAACAGTAAGAATAGTAATAGCAATAGCAAAATAGAAATAATAGTAATACTAGTACCTAGTAATAGCAGCAATAGCAGTAATGACCGTAAGAATAATAAAAATAGCATTAGTAGTAGCAATAATAATAGCAATAATAGCAATAGTGGCATTAATAGTGGTAGTAGTACTGATAACAACACTAGGTTTGAATCTTAAGGCTTGGGTTGTTTTGGGCTTCAGCGTCCCTAGGGCAGCTGAGGAGAAGGCATAAGGATGTATACGCTTCTTGTCATTTCCACCCCAATACAGTTACTATTATCATTATCATTATTATTATTGTTGTTACCACTGTTAGTATTACCATGCCACAATGAATGAAGACATTTCTTTCTATTTCCACCCCATCACCCCTTTTGCGCCCAGCTTGCTGTGTGGAGTTCTTTTACCCTCGTTGGGTAGACTGTCAACGCACTTTCAGAAGTTGCTGTTAAGGAACTTCAATGAAGTTACCATAGTAAATAATAGCGTTTCCTTATTGTAGTGACTTCCTAAACCCTAAACCCAAAGTTCCTTAACAACAATCCAGACCATGGCTGCACATTCACTACCCACAAACCTCCGTATCGAATGATGTTAATCGAGCTCACCCATGCGGTGGGCACTAAAAATCTGACATGTCTCCAAATACATTACAGCTTGGGAATTACGGTACTACAGTAAATGAATTTAAGCCATGCAGGGTTTGTAGATCTATAGTAGGGCTCGAAACAAGAACAGTTGCAGACGCAGGCGCCTGGCAGAGGCCTCGACGGCCGCTCGCAAGTTGGTGCAAGCTGCGACTACACCTCAGCTGCAAGTGACCAAGGTTATATAGAGTTATATAGCAGTTGCCAAAAATTGAGGGCCAGTTTGGGGGGTTCGCATAATAAGTTGAGAATTCCAGCATTTTGGTGCCCCCAATTTATGGAAACTACTAAGGTTGTGTAGAATCATTTAAGGTTACGCATGGTTTACAGTAAGGTTAGAGCTCAGGGTCGGGGCTTTAGGTTTCGGAGGTTACACGCTCTGACGGACTGTTGGAATGATACTGCTTCAAAGACTCGCACAAACCCCCAGGCAAAGCCTAAACCCCTGAACCCAAAGCACCAGCCCTAAAAAACTGGACCCGAATGAACCTGAAGCCTAAATGCTAAATCCCCAAGTCCTCCTTCCTGAGCTGCAAAGCCTAAACCCAAACTGAAATCCAAAATCCAGTAAGCCCAGTTTTAGAATAATGCACATTGCGTAGTGCTCCTTCTTCGCGGTTGGACCGACTAAGATCATATTCTGCTAATAGCGCTCTACAACCATACGCCAACATAATCTTACACTATGCCGCAGACTATACGAATAAACACCATCCCAATGTCCACTTATCTTTCCTTTCTCTTCTTCCTTTGATTCTCTGCTACGGCCTCTAGACCCCTACAACCCGTACATGGCCAACTGTAAGCCTAATACCCTTAGATGTATCTCGCTAAGCCCCAATCTCTAAAGTCTAAACACTGATCACTAACCCTAAACTCTATACCCTGAACTCGAAACCCTACTAATCCCTAAACCCTAAATCATCACAAGCCCTGAACCCTGTGAATTTGCACTGGGAGTCGGCCCAAAGTAGAAATTCCAGGGCCGTGTGGCAGCAGCTGCTCCAGCACTGCACCTCGTCGCTGTTCAGGGAGGATGGGCTTAGGGAGTTTATGGGATTCTGCTTGAGTTTGAAGTTTACGGCCTAGGGATTTTAAGGGTTCAGGGTTGAGTTTGAAGTCTAGGGCTGAAGGATTTTCAGGGTCTAAGGATGTATTCAGAAGTCCCAACTTGAGAGATTCAGGATGCAGGATTTAGGGATATGATTAGGATTCGGGTTTGGAGATCAGCGTTTACGGATCGGCATAGGGATTCAAGTTTGGGGGGTCATGCAAGGCCTTGCAGCCATCATTGAAGAATTTCCGACACGCTTCTAGGGCTGACATGAGGCTTCCTAAGGCAGGACATCATTCGGGAATCTTCTACATAGGTTTTCTGCGGGCATTCAGCCAGAACCCATTATTATATCATAGTGGCACGAAACCGGACTAGAATTCTTGAGCGATATTGGAGACTGCGCCCTGTGTGGAATACTATACGTTACGAGTTTGCATAGAAAGGCGCCCAAACAAGGTATATAAGCACCCCCATTCTGGGGTTCTTTCATGTAACCAACTGCGAACAAGCTGGCCGTGGGAAGGTTTGCAGCTGAGAGCGTGCTTTAGAGAACAGAAAGAGCCTATACCAAGTTGAAATCGGGCCCAGGGATGCAAAATAATGATAATAATACGTAGTAATAATAGCAATAGAATTAAATTAATGATAGGAATACTGGTAATAATAGTAGTCATAGTAATAATAGTATTAGTAACAATAATGGCAATGATAAAGGTAGTAATACTAATAGTAATTAATGGTAATTCATAACAGTGTCTGAGTACATGAGTATGTGTTTCTCTGCATCTGGGAATCGGCGTGTGGAGCCCTGCATTCCCTAAGGGACCTCTCCTGGGGAAATGTTGCAAACTCAACACCAACAAACCTAAACTGGGTACATCACCTTCCTTAAATCCCTGTATTCCCTCAGTTTCCATTGCATTTTCGATGTTCTTTTCCATTTAATTCTCCATCATAGGGGGATAATATAGCTCAAATGAAGTTCCTTACGTAACCTTAAACCCTAAACCCTAGATCCAAAATCGTAAACCTTCAATCTGAGTTCAGACAAGCGACGGACCAAGAACTGATCGCTAAACACATCTCCAACAGTCATCTTGCAAGCCGCCCATGCGCGCTGGCAGCCACCCGGGCAGTGCTACACGTCTTGAGGGCTTACGGCTTAGGGTTTGGGGCTTAGGGTTTGAGGTTTAGGGTTTAGGGAGGTCAGGGTTTGCCCTTTTGGGTTTAGGGTTTCCGAGTTGGTTTGGGGATACCCATACTCAGGGACTGTAGTATATTGGGGTCTATATTGGGGCTCCCTTATTTTGGGAAAGTATCTGGGTTCTGGCTATAGGGATCTGAAGGATTCTGAGACAAGTCAGACGTGCGAAGCTCTTGCTTGCTGGCAGTGCTTGCAGAAACTTGATCTTGCGCCGCTGCACAACGAGACAGAGCAATGATCCTCGACCTTCCACAAAAGCGGCATGGCACATTCTCCATGTTGTGACTGAAAACTGTAAAGTACTACCTATGGAAGGAATCTTGCAGCACTTAGGGTCCCCAGGCAGCCAAATTCCCAGGAGTTAGGGTACTCGAGGTGGTGCAGGATTTCGTCAATCCACTGTATACAGAGGCGTCTCTGGCCATCATCGAAAATGCATGTGCCTCAGACAGCACGCCGGAGTTGCTGTCCTTTAGGGCACGGCATGTCGTCGCACCTCATCCAGGCACTAATAAACAGGGTATATATAGGGGGTTACATACGGATAATGGAAAAGAAAATGGAAACTACTATAGTATACTAGGTTGTTTCTCATGACAAGGTTAGCCTTGAGAGCCCCAGAAATGTATGGGGACCCTTGACAAATTCAAGGGTTGCCCCTTGATGGTTTCATGGGGAATCATGTCAGGAAACTCCTACATGTTTGCAGAGTAGTATAAGGGCGGATTCTCTATGTTGGCATTTTGAAAAGGATGCTCGGCATGTTGAAATCAAGCCGCAGCACATGGCCTCAAAATACAGTAAAGACACCACGTCAATAGAAGACCAAATAGCTGTCAGAAACTCCAGTTCATGTGCACTCCAGGCTGACTCAGCTGGACACCGCCCTAGAACCGTCTGACAAGTAGCAGTTGCTACTTTTCAACGTAACGTCAAGACACCCACCCTTCTGGAGGAAGAGCGACTTAGGCAACCTGCATCAGAATATTGACACTTAAGCCGTTAGCGGGGGGATGCCTGGCACTATATGGAGGAAAAAGCACTAGAAAGACCTGACGATGACAACACTGCCAGCTGACAGCTGTTCTGAAGACATGATATCCCCTGAAATTCCCTTTGTATTCCTGCCAGTTCTGCACAACGTAAGGGCTAGTATAGCGGCAGGGATGGTAAGGGAGCCCATACCAAATTACTTGCTAAGTGAAGGGGTGTGAAACGATTGCTCAACCTTGAGACTTGCGACGTGCAGTCCAAATGAATATGTTCCCAAACCCTTCAACCTCAAACCCTGAGGCCTAAAACCCTAAGTCCTGGGAACGACAAACACTAATGGCTAAATGAGATAAAGTGAAAACTCCTAGCATCTCCCTTAAGGAGTTTAGACTACAGCTCAAAAACTTAAACAGTAAACCCCGGCAGCCCTGATCAGCAAGTCCCTCACAAACCTGAACACTACAAACACCCTAACAACCCGATACACCCTACACCTTACCCACAAAAAAGAGCCCCAACCCTGAACTCTAAACGCCGAACCCTGAACCTTAAACCCTAGTCCCTAAACGCCAAACCCTAATCCCTAAACCCTAAACCCTCAACTGTTTATCCCAAGGGCCCACTTCCTGAGCCATTGGCGTACCACACGGGAGTGCTAAAGCCGCCTCCCCGGCCCTTCCAGACCTTTTCAGGATGTAGGCTTAGGGTTTTGGGTTTAGGGTTTAAGGTTTCGGGTTTTGGCTTTCGGGTTTAGGGTTTAGGGTTTGCAGCGTTCTGATGGACAAAGGGTATATCGGGTGTGTGCGTGTGTGTGTGTGTGTGTGTGTGTGTGTGTGTGTGTGTGTGGGTGTGGGTGTGTGTGTGTGTGTGGGTGTGGGTGTGGGTGTGGGTGTGGGTGTGGGTGTGCGTG